CTACTACTACTACTACCACTGCTAACACTATGTTTCGGTCATCGCGGCAGGAGTGCGATGCGTTCTGTCCTTACTCTGTTGATATATCCGGCCCAGGGGCATCTGGGGCTTCATTGAGAAAGTTCAGGCCGCTCGGATGCTGCACTGACTTGGCGCCAGGCTCACCAACCAGCGCCCCGCCGCACGGAGCAGGCCTGAGGCCGAACGGCGGAAGAGTTTAGGGCTTGGGCTTTAGTGGTGGAGCTCGTTTGTCAGAGGCAGTGATCTGCAACCAAACTTGTCACGAAGACATTCAAGCAGCAGCTAGTCCACTGCTCGAGGTGCAAACCTTCTCGATGGTCTTGTGTGTGTGTGTTGAGTGCACGAGCCCCTGCTCAACCTTAGAAGTTCAAGCCTGCTGCTCACAGTAGCTGGACTCGAACTCTCTCTTGGCCCTGCATCCAAAACCTTCAGGCGCCGAGTTCTGGAAACATCAACAACAAAAAACGGCAGCCTCAGCATTGAATTCTGACTGGAAAACGAAACTCGGAGGTGCAGGAAACAAAACAATAATAATACCAGGGTCGAACAAGGAAAGAGTGCATTCAGAGGGAAGTGTTTGTGTGGGGGAGTAGTTGAATTTTGATTGGATCTTAACATTCGTACATGCCCCGGGGGCATGGCAAAGACAGCAGGCTCGGGGGTATCTGCTGAGTAGCAGCCCACTCGAACCTCGGCTTCTTTCGGAAAGCTTGGCTTTTCTTCGCAGAGCACCGACACGTACCATCTTCAAACCTCTTAGCGGCTTTCCCATATAGTCGTTCCGCATAGGATCAGACCCACCTGCAGTCTATTTCGGGGGGTCGGTACTGTCCAGCTGTCTTGGGCTCTCACGGGCCGGTCAGTAGTGTCCGGTACACCTGCCAGAACAGGGCCGTAGTCCCGACAACTCCGGCTTGCTGCAAAGAACGTTGACATAATGCTCAATTGCCACTGATAATGGCGGCAATAAGAACACTGTTAAGCACTCATGTTGCCACTGGTCTGCGGCGCATCGGCGATGACGATAGCCACGGCTTTACTACTACGACGAGGACTACTACAAAACTTCCGCTCCTTCTACTTCTACCTTGCTAATTACTACTACTACTACTACTACCACCACTACCACTAGCACTACTACTACTACTACTACTACTACTACTACCACTACCACTACTACTACTACTACTACTACTACTACTACTACTACTACTACTACAACTACATATATACTATTTCTACTACTACTACTACTACTACTACTACTACTATATACTACTACTATATACTACTACTATATACTACTACTATTACTACTACTACTACTACTACTACTACTACTGCTACTACTACTGATACTGCGACGACGATGATGACACAAGACGACAACAAGGCGGACGACTGCTCGACTACTATTACGCCGACAACTAGTACTGCTACTACTCCTGCTGCCGCTGCTGCTACT